GGTTTCTGCTTCTGTTTTGCCGTTACAGACATATATAGGCAGTAGTCATAGAAGCGGTGCCGTCATAAATGATCAAGAAAAGAAGTTTGGACTTCTCGTTGATAGCGAGTTCGCCGTGATCGACAAAGGTGAGTTCACCGAACGTTTCGCTTCTCCTTCTCATACCTGAAATTCTTGATCGAGATGGTGCTATCTTAGACTTCTGACAGGTTTCACACTGTTTGACTACGTTGTCATACTCTTCATAGATTTTTGCAGGAATCTTTAAAGCTGATGTTCTTTTCTTGAACTGCTCAGTTGACATGTGATAGTGTTTCAAATGTAGTTTCAAGCGTTCAGGAGGACGTGACAGCTTTTCATGACTTCTCTGCAACGCTAACGGCAATGTCATTGAAACCTTGGGCGCCTTCTTCTCTCTATGAACTGTGGTTGGTTCTGGTTTCACGTCTTCCTTTGTTTCTTCCTGAGGATCTGGCTTCACCGGCTCATCTGCATCTGCAGGAGGAGCATCTGGCTTACGTGCTCCTGCACTGGAACTTGGAATCTTCGAATGCTCGAATGGTGTTCCAAAATCAGGTGACTTTTCTGTCTTCCGGAATGTCGGAGTTGTCACCTTCTTAGCCGGTGGAGGCATCGAAATAAGCTTTCGAAGGCAGATCAATCTTGGCATCTCCGATTGCAATCTTCTTTTCCGGCTTTTTCTCTGCCGGAACATGGCTGCTGGCTTGTCCTTGTTGTCTTCAGACGAATCTGCTTTTTGCATCCATCCTTGTATGTATGTGCTCGATGCTTACCATTGCAAGCTGGACAGGATGCAAACGAAGGATTAATTGCTGTGAAACTGCGATTCGGCTTTCGAACAGAGCTGGCAAACATCATGATGTCTAAGACATTATGGTTCGAAGTGCCCACTGGCAACGAAAAACGTTTCAAACCGAATAGCGGACAAGTCAGATAGTCGCCGACTGGAGTATGCTCAATGGACATGCGGAGATTGCGAAGTTGTTCAACGCTGAAAAGAATCGGCGCGTCTCCTTGGTCTAAAATGTCAATTGCAGTGGAAATCTACCCAGTGGGTGCTTGGTCATTCTGAAAGTAGATCACAAGCTTCTCATGGACGTTGGACTGTTCACCGTTTGCAAAAATGAGAATCGACTTGATGAAGGCTCGAAGGAGAAATCAATCTCGCTTGAAATCTTGTGATGCCTGCATGCCTTCACGAGGCGCGTGATGGCGGTCCTCGAACCCATCGCTCTGGTACAGCCGCTGTCGATGATCACATAGGTCGGACTATACCTCGAGTCGACGTATTCAGAAAGCAGTGCGCGGTGAAATCCATCGTCAAAGTTTACAAAAGATGAACAGAAGCGTGGATCGACTGTTTCAGAACAACCGGAATGTCGGTAGTCTTCATTACTACCGGCAGGCTTTAGGTGATACTGTTGTGAAACGTGTTCTGCACCAGTCAAATCTTCGGTTTGATGTCCGTAATTTCGGATATCTGTTGACTGGTTGTTCTGGTCAGGCCTTGGCTCTGTATGTCCATTGTTGCCAAGTGGCTTCATTTGCCTGCCAGACATCTTCTGGATAGTACTGGTCTGTTTGATGTCCATATGAGTCCCATGACGAACTTGCTTCATGTGCACTCCAGGTTTCTTCGGCGTTAGGTTTTGACCGAGCTGACGAAGGCTCATCGGTGGTTGCAACATTGGATTGTTGAAATTGATTCTGTTGCTTGCCTTTTCCTTTACCTTTAAAAGCATCTTTCCCTTAAAACCTTTCTTTCCACCTTTCTTTCCTTTCTTGCCTTTTCCATAGAAACCGGAGTTGTCACGGTACACTGCATAGTGCGCCCCTGCACCTTTGCCTCTACGGCTGGTAGGCTGGTGAAGCCGGGTCTTCTACCTTGTCCGCGGCCTTTACCTTTGCCGCCTTTGGATTCTGAGAACAAACTCACAAATCCTTCCTCGCCTGTTTCCTGATCCATCACCCAGTATCCGGACTCTTCCTCCAAGTCTCCTTCATCGAGGACAAGGAAAGTGGATCTTTTGTGCCTGCGGATCGAAGGATCAGCAGTTCCTGTGGCGGTTAAGCCTTTAACACCTAAGCGTGTGTAGTTGTTCATGTTCAGTTGACGCAAAGACATGCTGGCTACAAACCTTTCTATTCAACTAAGAAGATAAGCGGCGTCAGATTGTCAGACAGTGGGAAAGTATCACGACGTGCTTGCTTCAAACCATCAATGTGTTCAGCTCTGAGTCTATCTGCTATTTCTCTACGTTCTTCACGATCCTGCGTTTGCTGAAGTAGATTGTTGTATTGTTGCTGGTTAAGATGTTGACAAAGTCGACATCATCAGGCTGTGGAACACCTGTAAGATCTAGCAAGCCCATCCAGGCTTCCATGACTTTCTTACTTGCTACTTCAAAACGAGCGATCCAACTAACAAATACCCCGTTTCCGCGCCAGGTCCTAAAGAGCCGCATGAAACGCCAGAGAAAGACACGATTTGCTCCTTTGACAAAGTAGGGACGTAAGGTTCCCTTGAAGTACGCAACGCCGTTCCTTTCGTCGCGAAGCTGCTCATTGTCAAGCATTTTTTTGTAATATTCTGCGTTTCCGGCCAATGCATTCTTTAGTGAGGGACCGAGCTTCTCTGCGGAAAGTGTGGAAAATGTTTAGCCAGTCATCGATCAAATCTTCGAACTCGAGCCAAGATGACTGTCCATCGAAGGACGGGGGAATCTTTGGCGTCATTTTGACACCTAGTGCTGGCTGTGTTTCATAAGTCCGGAATGTCGAACCTGAGGATCTGGACTGCTGGGAACGATACCTCGAACCTTGTGCAGCATATGCTTCCTGTGGTTTTCGACTCTTCCTGATGACTATATTCTGATTCGTTGTCCGTATCCATGTTAAAGATCTGGACCATGGTCACTACTCTTCAGACAGGTGGGCTACTTGGTTGCCTCCTGTCCGTAACGTCGGACAAACCTGCG